AATCTCCCTCGTCCTCCTCCTGCTCAAGCATTAGGAGCCTGACCAGTGTTTCTAGGAAGTGTGATATAAATCCAGTTAAAGCACTTAAGCGAGTCCCAAGCTTTAAGTATATAATTAGTCATGCTGGATTTATGCTTTTCTAAGTGGGTGGGGATTTTAGGAGGCTTTTGTTTTTATCTCGAAGGCTGGTGAAAGCCACCTTCCCCCATGCTAGGGATGCCGTTCGCTGCAGCAGCCTCTGCTCTGTTTGAATCAAGTTCCCTTGAACAACCCCCTCTTCTCCTGATGCTGACTTCAGACTCGGGTTCTGTGAAGGTTTGTGTCATGTTTAACTTCAGGGTGGTGTCCTAGAGAGACGCTGATGTCCATAGGGCAGCGTGGGTCTGTGAAAGCTGATCCAAACTTACAAGAGGGGCTGCTGTCTGTCTGTCTGTCTCTATCCATCATCCAGCTGAGTGTGCTCAGTTGGCACAGGGGCTGATGAGAGCGCTCGGCAGGGAGCAAAGCCAGGGTGTTGACTCAGTCGCTTTGCTTGGCTCCACGGTGTCCAGGTAGGGTAGGAATCACTGTAGAGCAGCTCTCCATCCATCCTTTTGAGGTTTTTGGAGCACCCGTACAAGTTCTTGTCTCCCTTTCTGGCCTCGTATGTGTTGAGGCTGCCTGGGAGTTTGTGGGTGAAACAAAATGAGGCGCTGGTTGTGTTTTGAGCTGCTTTGCACCAGTGAAAGCTGCAGAAGTTCTTTGGGGTGTGGAGCATTTACCCGAAAGAGGAGAATCAGGCTGGCGAGAGCAGCGTTTGCGAAGTCTAGGCACCGCAGTGGCAGTGGGACATTTGTCTCTTTGTCTGGTGCTCTCTGGCTGTACAAATACAGCACGTGCCCTAAAAGCTGCTCCTCTGCTGGAGGGCAGCGCCTGCAGCAGCGAGCAGGACTCTTCCATCCTGCCACATCCATGCCCTGCTTGGAATGAACATCTCTAACATCATTTTTCATCCTGTTGTTGCAAGGACAGTATATCTGTGTGTTTTCTTTCCAGCTACTGTACTACAGGGCTTTGAGAAATCTCGTTTTCTCGAAAATCCTTGGAAAAAGCACTGAAAGCTGCCCTGTGTGCTCTCTGGCAGGGGAAGAGGGGTTGGCTTCAATGTTGGTGCCTGCATGCAAAATGCCGCTGCTTTGCCCTGCTGCCATGCTGGAGGGGGTGCAGCCAGCAGCTGAGCAGCTTTGGTCCCGTTGGGTGAACTTCAAGTAGAGCAAATGGCTTTTCACGAGCATCTTTTCCTCTTGAGACCAGGCAAGAGGGCTCCCGTCCCTCGGCCCCACACCTCCGGTGACAGGGGATCAGCCGGAGCTCCGTGCCAGCACTGACAGATCCCACCACGGTTGAGATCCTAGGGCCATAAATGATTTGATTTGTTCTGAGGCGCGCTGGGGATGTCCCATAAACGCTGGGAAACGAGCTTTGATGGGTAACAAGAGCTTTTGCTTGAGGAGGGTGTTTCTTCTAGTGCTCCCATGGCTCTCCTCTGAAGATGGGGGTGGTTTCCGGCTCAGCACCGTGCGGATCCAGGCAGGACCATCTCTGCCCTTGCGTACGAGCAGGACCAAAGATGGGTGCCTGCCTAAGGGGCAGAACTGAGAGCAAAACTCAGTCATCCGTGCTCGTAGCGTGGTGTCTTGAAAACCAAACTGCGCTTTTTTCCTAGAGCCTGCAGCAGGTGTGGTAAAGTGGTACACACTGCTCGAGGTGCTGTTCCAGCTGAAGTGTGGAGATTGGAGGGTCTTGCTGATGCCGTCTGTGCAAATTAGACCCTGTAATGAAGATTTATAAACCAGCTTATTTTCTGTTGAAGGATGGAAGGTGCCCTTGTGTTACTAGACGGGAGGGAAGAAGTGCTTTAAGGGCTAACTGGGAGCTTTGAATGGTAATTTTTGCAGAGAATTCAGATTAATCGTGTGTCCTCTTTAAAATGGAGTGGGTGAAAGCAACGGTGATCAGAACTGCTGAGTAAGCAGTGGGTAATCCCTCCCGGACTCAACAAATCCATACTCGCTCGCAACAAAATCTCCCTCCGACTCTTATTTAGTATATATTTCTGTAATCTGCTTTCCAAACACTGCTGTTGCAAAGTCTGTGCAGCCTGAAGGCCACGGTGCACCCCGGGGCAGCACTCGGCCCTTGGAGCTGGGGACAGAGCAGCAGCTGGACTTGGGGTACAGCACACGCTGCTTTTGGGAGGCTGGATTTCTGTGCTTAGAAATGCAGTGCAGCAGTAATTAGCTGCTCCATACGCGCTTTGTCCTGCTCTGCAATGAAACCTCGTAGCTATACTATCTCTTTTTTCCCTCCTGTGTTTTTTACCAGGCAAATGAGGTGACTGACAGTGCTTACATGGGCTCAGAGAGCACGTACAGCGAGTGCGAGACCTTCACGGATGAAGACACCAGCACACTAGTACATCACGAGATGCACGACGAAGTAGAAACGGACAGTGCCATCGACTCCACTGTGCATTCGGAGTTCACGGATCCCATCGAGGAGCCGGAGCATGGGTGAGTGGGAACGGCCAGGAGCAAAGCTCAGTATGCAGGGCAGGAAACCCTGGCAAACTGGGAGCAGGGAGATGCAGCCTGAGGATTTAAAATAAAGTGGGCTGAGTCTGTCTTGCTGAAACTGGTTGGTTTATTCTTTGTTTTTGTAACTTCATGCAAGACCAAAATAGCTCTTCTTTAAGAATAATTATAATAATTAGACTGCACCATGTGTAGGCTGTTTTGGAGCTTGGCCTGGCAATCTCTTTGAGTTAATCGTTGCTTGCCTTGGGAGAACTTCTGTACCCTCATTAGCATCTTTAACCTCTAAAAGAAGTTCTCAGATGATCCAAACACCTGAAATACTTGCAGTTTTTAATCTATCACTTAAGCCAGAAACACAACATGTAATTTTCAAGTCAGGAGGGGAACTCAGCGTATTCTTGTTTTACCTAAACATGCGGGTGCCCTTTGATGTGCAGCCACCTCCTGTAATAACTAGTTCTGAACCAGTGCCCGAAGCACAGAAGTGTGAGCTAAGATCTTCTTCCCTGGGTCTGAACTGCTGCTGGCGAAACTGCTCCTGGGCCCCCCTCATTTCCTAGGTTTTCCAGGAAAAGTGGGTTTTGGGGTGAAACTGGGATGCTGGCCGGCGGGAAGGGAGGGAATAACTCCTTTAACAGTGACCCAAGGGCACCAGTCTGTGCTGACAGCTCTGGAACCGTCATCGCTTAAAGTCTGCTAACGCACAGAATTTTTTTGGCCAAAACCACATCACCCAGGCATGGTGCTCTGGTGAGTACTTACAGTTCCCGTTGCTTTTCGAAAGCACCGGGCTTCCCTCCCACCCCAAAATCACATGTGGGGAGCGTCAGATGCGGTGAGCAGTCAGTGCTGCTGGGCACTCAGCGCCGGAGCTGAAAGGGTGCTGTGGATTAGGGAAGAAATGGGATTAGCTGGCTAGGCTCTCCTCGCCCGAGCGCGTTCGGCTCAGTCACAGTTAAATCAGGATATAATTGGTTGCTGAGCTCTCCGACGACTGAGCGGAGGATCTCTGGAGGGGCCATGGCAGCCTGTGTGCGCTCTCGTCCTCTGGGGAAAATGACGTGCCTCGGATTCGCCTGCCTGTAGGTACAAAATACTTTGCTTGGGAAATTTTTTAAGATTAGGTTGTTCTTGAGGCTTCCCTGCTACTCCCAGTGTGGTCTTGGGAAGGTCGGGCGTCCTTTGGGCGCTCTGTCCAAGCGCAGTGGTGCCTGTTGCCAGGTGTGTTAAATGTGCGCAAATTCCAGGTAGCCAAAAAGAATAAGGAAAAAGTTAATTTGGCTTAAAGATTGAGAAGGCTTGAGACAGAAGCCTCCGGAAGCCTATTCCAAAGTTGTTGAGGGCCGGTTTTGGTGCCATCAGACCCCAGGCAGGACAACAGTTTCACACCTTTACAATCAGTAAGTACAATCCGACCAATGCAGCTGGTGGACTGACTCAGAGCTTGAACACTACTTTTCAGTAGCTGCTAAAGCTCAGCATACCTTAGATTATTTACATTATTAAGGCTGTGTGTAGTAAAGATCAGTTGGACTCCGGATCTCAGAACTGCTAGAGTCCCCACTAGGTGTAAATGAAATACTCGGACTATTTATTGCCCAGAGCATCCTTGGCTGAGGGTTTCCAGGTGCCTGATCGGATCTGCTTCTGTACCGTGCTTGTCAAACCACAGCCCCAAATTTAGAGATTTGGGCTTGGATTTAGCTGGTGAGTTTAAAATTCCACCCCCTGCCTTCTATTTCTGGAGAGATTTCCGATGCTTTCGGCAGTGGTCTGCTGGGTGCAGCCTCTGACTCACCGCTGGGGAGGATGGGTTTCTGACGGATCCCGCTGCAGAATAACGGTGCTTTCGCCGGTTGGTGCACAAGGAGGGTGTGCGGATGCCTAAAAGCTGGACTGGACTTGTCTGCGGTTAAATAGAGTACTGTTTGGGCTGGAGGGTTGACATGTTTTATTAACAGGATAAGGGTAAATCCTTCAGATGGTGCAGGTTTTTGTCATAAATGGCTTATCTGTAATCTTTTTCTTTCTGGCTTAGTACAGCAATCTAGTCATACCCCCATTTTCCCTCTCCTAGCAAGTGGATGAAGATGGGGGTGTAGCCTGAAATATCAGTTTTTATAATGCAATCTTTTTTTTAACATTGAATTTTGGAGAGCAGAGTGGTGCTGGTCCCCCGCAGAACTCATACCTGTGGCTCACAAACGCATGAGCTGCTTTCACAGCCTGGTTCTTACAAATCCCCCCTGCCTTTTCTCCCCAGCTGAATGTGAAAACCTCTGCGGTCCTGGGCAGGAAAGCCCTGTGCGGGTGGGCGCATGCTGCCGTGGTTGCTTGGCTTCATGCAGCACTGCGCATGTGAAAAGGCACAGAAATGCTGGCTTCTGCATGAGCTGTGTCCCCTCCGAAGCACGGGACATCCCAGGACCTGTGCTGGGGGTGTGCAGGGTTTAGGCTGAGGCTTAACACGCTGCAGCCTGCCGGGTCCGGTGTTGGAAACGCACGAGACAGCATTCCCCCCTCCAAGATCGCCAGGAGTGTGTACAGCATTTTCCCAGCAGGAGCAGGGAAAGGGCTCCTTTGTCTTGCCAGGGGTTCTGTCGCTGCCGGGTTTGGCTGTAAAACGCCAGGATTTGTGTTGTGGGGAGGGCAGGGAGAGGGGTTTACAGTGTTAAACCCCAGTGTTGGGCTTCTGATAGGATTATACAGCAAGAAGCAAGCATGAACCTGGCACACAGGCTGACAGTGTAATTCAAAACATCTTTAGGGTGTGTTTTGAGCTTTTTTTCTGCTGTGCTTTTGGTTGCGCCCGTGCCATGCAAGGGTTTGCCACCAACCCTGGGTACTGTCCTTCAACTCCTACCTCCAGATCCTATATTGCAGGTGCCAGGGGAGCTTGCATGAAAAAGCATTGGTTTGTTGTGAAAAAAGTTGCTGCAGGCTTCCCGGTGGTGCCTGGGCTGCCCCTTCGGTGTTCGAGGCACGGGGTGAATTGCACTATGAGGAACAGCTGGCCTGGTCTGCCAGAATGGGAGCCGGGACTTGGAAAGCAGAGGCATCGGGTGCAACTGGAAGGGCTGCTGTGGTGGCCGCCCTGTAACGTCTTCCCCTCTGTTCCCACAGATCCCATCCGCACGACCTGCCCCTGGGCTCAGACCTCGGCCACTCCATCGTCACGGTCATCAGCGGAGAGGAGCACTTTGAGGATTACGGAGAAGGGAATGAAGCAGATTTGTTCTCGGACAGCTTGTGTAATGGGGAAAGCAGCTTTAACAGCTCCTCGTTCCTCTCTCCCAGGTAATGCTCGGCACGGTGCCGGCGATGTTTTAACCGGTTTCGGCTGCGTCGTGCGTTCGCCTGTGTTTTGTGTGCGAGACAGTTGTTTCCTCTGGGTTTGCACATCAGTCGGCCTGCGAGAGGGGGTTCCTGCCAAACTTTGGATACAAGGGGATGCTCGGCTCGGAACTGGCAGAGAAGTTGCCTCCCTTGGTCTTTCCTTTTCCTGAACAGTGCCCATCCTCCCATCCAGAGGCACTAATGCCCAGCAGCAGGGGGAAGAGCAGTCTGCATTTCACATGCATCCAGGACAGCCTCCCGTTCCCCCTCCTGTTAGGGACGTGGCCCCTCACAGAACCTTCTGGTAGAGAAGACCACCATGCGGCTTTACCCCTGGTCCTGCTGGATGACATCAGGTTTTCTTCTTTCTCTCTTGTGCTTCTATTTTTGTCTTTGAGATGATGCTTCGTTGGATTTGCCCGAGCTTGCGGCAGCCTTCCTTCTCTAGGCATCCTCAGGGATGCGTGGAGCAAGAAGCAGGCTGTAGCGTTTTCCTGGATGCCTTGCCTTAGGGTCTGAAACCAGGCAAATGTTGGTTTTCCAGCCCCTGCAGAGTGGACTGAGGAGCTGGTACGGCAATGCAAAACCCATCAATACTTACTCTCTAAGGGAAAAAAGTAAAAGCTGGAACGATCATCCGCTGCTGCAGCCTACAAAGTCTCTGTGATGACAGATGACACCGGGGACAGATGTTTCTCCCTCGGGCAGTGCCTCTCTGCGCAAGGCAGCAGTGGTACCTGGCAGCCACACACGCTTGCGTTGAAGACAAGAACATGCTTTTTTCCTTTGGGGTGATGTATTTGTGGCTTCCTGCAGCAGTGTCAACTTGCCATAACTTCTTTTTTGCTGTCTACCTGTTTTCTACCAGCTTCCCAACGCCCTGCGTAGAGTTTGGGCGATTCTGGTTGTACAGGCCTGGTGGGGAAGGACTGTTGTCAAATCTCCACACCTGCACTTTGCTGCAGGTCCGGGCTGACTTTCTTTTTTGCTGGTGCAGCAGCAATTTTGAAGATGTTAACTAAACCTGTGGCAGGAGAGCGTTGCTGCAAAGCACGCCTAACCCATTCGTTCAGGAAACCAGTGCTCCAGTGCTGGATGTGATGGGATATCCTGGAGGGCAAGGGACATGTCGCTCATCCACGCTTGTCCTTCGATCACGCTGTGCAGAAACGCCGAGTGTGGCTGGCTGTACTGGCGCTGCAGCGTAGGAAGTGCTCTCAGATAAAAACCAGCCTTGGTGTTCGTTTTGAGTTGCTCCTTGAGGGTGGGCCTCCAACCTAGTCCAAAAGGCTCCTGGCAAGAAAATGCTCAGCTAAAGGAGCTTTGCAATCAGTTAGACTTTTTATTTAATACCCATCTGGAGCTTCCAGGTTGCCTGTGCTCCCAGTGTCCAAATCTTGCTCTGTGAGGGCACCGTCTCCCCTCTGCTGCTCTGTCTCTTTGGATCTCATCCACGAGATCCTGCTCTGCAGCATCTTTCCTCTGCCGGGAGGGGCTCACTCGGCGCATGGCCACGCAGCTCGTGCTGGTTTGTGCTGGAGACTCGCTGCTGGGGCTTGCGAGGGAGGCAGGCTGCAGATAAACCCTGCAAAACCTCCAGCATAAAGAATGCGGCTCTGTTTGAAACAGAGGATTTCCTCATGCCTTTCGGGTCTAGCCGTTACCTTGGATTATCGTTGCATGCGTGCAGGTCCTTAGCTGATCGTTCTCTGAGATAGCGCTGTTTTTCTGAACAAAGCCCTGCCACCCCAGTTTGTTTAAATGTAGTGAAGCCTTAAAGAACTACAGGATACCACTGGTTCAGGCTGAACTTTTCTTTTGGCTGTGGTTTGAATACAAGGAACAGCATCGCTCTTAAACGATCACATCGCCACACACCCTTTCTACATTACGAGGGTCTCTAAACAGGAATAACGTCGACAAATTTTCCTGCCACAGCTCCAGATCTTCACCAGAGGACTAATACAAAACCCAAGAACCTTCAAGGAATGCTATGGCGTATTGCATTTTCCCATGTGGTCTTTGCGTGTGTGTGGTGATCTCTCCTCTTGGGTTGCCACCTCTTCCCCGGCGTGTCCATCGGGTAGGAGAAGTCTCTCTGCAGCGCTTGGTGGGAGCCAAATGGCAACTGAAAGGAAGAGCTCCTTGCACGCACCCGTTTCGGCTGCCGACATGCCGTGTCAGTAAGCACCAGTGACCTGTGGGAGAGGAACGTTGCTCCACGAGCCGGCGGGAGGAGGCAGGAGGGCTGCATACGGCACAGAGCATGGCAGCCTGCCACGAGGGTAGGTGGGGATGCCCCGCGGCGCAGTGCAGCCCAGCTCTCGCCCACTCACCGGGCGAGCAACCAGCACAGCCAGAGGCCACGTCTATCTGCACGCACTCGGAGAGTTGCCAGGCTGCCCTCCGGCTTCTCCTCTACGCTTCTTCTCCCGTTTTGATTAACACTTGTTAAGATTCGGGTTCACACCTCTCCCAGGGATGCACCCAGCCGGGTGAGCTGTTTCTGCCTCCGGGCAGGGATGAGGAAGACTTGCTTGAACAGGGCTCACATGTGGCCAGGCGTGGGGGCAGAGCCCGGAGAAGGGCATACCACTTCTTCCAGGTGCCACAAAGCTTCTGTCACCTCTTACCCTGCGCAAAGCCTGAGCGACTGAGCTGACTGCTGGTGGGTAACGATAGCCCTGGGTCCGAACCTGCCCTAGACGGTAGGGGAATGTTTCCCAATTATTTTTTTCCAGGAATGGGAACAGATGAGCAATTCGGCATTGACTGTTGTCCAGCTGCCTGTTCTTAGGGGGCTCGGAAATACTGTACAGACAGCACAAACTCAGAGGCCTGACCCTGGGGGTGGCTGGGCTGCTGACACCCCACTGCCACCAAAAAACATCACTGAGGGGTTGTGTGAAGGTCTTGAGCCAGGAGACCCCTCCTGGGGTGTCCTGGGCCCTCAGCATCTCCCGGGCCAGGACTTGCCAGTGTGTATCTGCATTCACGGGGTTAACCGGCCCTTTCAGATGCATTTTGGTTTTAACGTTGCTTGTGTTTGCTCACACCTTTTCCTGTCTTTCTTATTGAACTGCTTTGTTTTTTCACTATTAACCTTTCTTTGATTAAAGTCCGTGGCTTCCAGAAGCACATTTTCCTACAGAAAGGATTTGTGAAGTAGATTTGGCCCCAAAGTAACACAAACTCTTTGCTGTTCAGAATCCCTTGGCCAAACTCTGTCCTGCCCAAGTCATGTCAGGTGGGGGAGATGGCTCCCTGGTTTGCCAAGTGTCGGTGAATGCCTCCGCAGCTTGCTTTCCACATGAGCAGCTGAAAATGAAAGGCTGATTGGGCCCGTTAGCTCCCCAGGCCATTAAAGTCCTGTGGACTCCCCATGTCCCCTTGCCAAATGATGTTTCCTACAAGAAGGCACAGCTGCTGCTTCAGCTTCTGCGTGCTTCACTGCATAGGAGACAGCAGTTGAATCACAGCCACCTTTTTGAGCTTAGCTTAAAAGGGCAGCTCTTTGCAATGAAAATCTGACTCTGTGCGTTGCTAATGGAGGGTCTGCAGCAGCACAGATGCTCTATTTTTAAAGCATCCCGTTGGAACGTGCTGCGACTGACCAAAGGGTTTGGCTCTCACAACGCCCGGTCCAGCGGTGTGTGAGTTCGGTCTGCATTTACCAAGGCAGGACCATTGCTAGAGCCTCCTGAGAGAGGCTGCTTGGAAAACCATGGCAAAAAATAAACTTTGTAGTCATGTAGGTATGTGGAAAGCATGTGCCTTGCCTTCCCGGGGCTCTCCACGAGAGCTGGCTGGCACAGGGGTTTGCAGACGTAAGCCAAGCTCAGCTGCTGTAAGTCTCTGGTAGGAGGGTGGTGGAGGTCCTGCTAATTTATAGCAACTCCATATTGATTGCCAGTTGGCTTGTAAAAGTCTTGTACCTCGCAGCAGAACCTCCCCTGCCCCAACGTACGCTCAGCTTGTGGAAGCCACGGACGAGAATCAGCCCTGTCTGGTCTGTTCTGTCCTGTTAAAATGACCCTTGTGATTTCTCTAGCACCAATCCGCTCGCTGCGAAACTGCACAGCATTATCGCAGATGAAGCATTTGAGTTTTACTGTAGCCAGTGCCACAAACAAATCAACCGCCTCGAGGATCTTTCTGCTCGCCTGAATGATCTTGAAATGAATAGGTAATTGGGCTTGCATGTGGCCATTTCAGTGTGGGGAATGATGTTCTGGAAGGGAAGACTCTCCTTGTCTCGCACAGCTTCCCTTTGCTGTGCCTTGCTTGATTCCTGTTGCAAAAGAGGATGAGTTTCACCAAACAAGGTGAGCCTTGCCGGGTGGTAAAGGTTTGTAATGATGTTATGGAGGGTCAGCAGAAGTTTCCATTAATCTGAGCCACGGAGGCTGGCAGACAATGAGAGCCTTCCCTTCTGCTCTGGGCAGCCTCTTTGCATGTCCCAATGAGTGGTGGGTGCTTCTCCACGCTCCGGGTAATGCAGTTCTTGCACCGGGATGTGAAGCCGCAAGCTGATCGTGTACAGTATTTCAGTCACCAAGGAAAAGACTGCCAGGGGTTCTGGCCGGTGATTCCCGGCGTGGAGGCACGCCGGAGTTGCTGCTCGATCTGGAAGGGCAGGTACAGCCCGTCCCCCGCTGCAGCAGTAACCTGGAAACATCAGCTTGCTCTCTGTGGCTTGGGACCTCTCCTGTAGGCACTCTCACTTTGCAGCAATAAAATCTTGTTTTGCCCAGCTTCGCCAGCTGCCCACCCTCCTGTGTGCCACCACTAGCCAGGTAGACATGGTAGGCACGAGGTTTTGGATGCAACGTTTGAGGTCTACCAGCCAGCAGCAGGATTTGCGGATTTGACAAGTGGGGAGGGATTTTTATTTCCTTATTTTTTCGGAGCTGTTTACAGTCCACTGAGTGGAAGGATGGCTGTATCGATGACAATCATTCTGCTCGCATCTGGTGTGCTCCTTCAAGCCTGGTTTTTGGTCATCCTCTTGGTCTCTATCTGTCCTCTCCGGGGACAGTGTGACGTAGGAGCTCCCCTGGTCTATATAGCTATGGGAAGAGAACTGGAAAACAAATAGGAGTGTGACCCTAATTTTTTTAATGGAAAAAGTGCTTCTCTCCCTTTCTCTTTCTTGGGTGAATAGTTGTCTTTGCTGTTGGAGGCCTTGAGAGTCAGTGGTGGGTCTCAGGTTATGCAGTTATTAAGGAGAATGCTGGACTTCCTTGGATGCACCAGTAGCCCCACTCTATTTCAGGCTTTCTCCACCAAATCTACCTGCAAAGCTGAACAAACACCTCAGAGCCTCCAGCGATGGCTGGGGTTTCTAGAGGAGGCTTCTCTGTCCCATGGCGTCGCGGTGGGGATTCTGGAGGTTTCGGTTTAGCGTGTGCCCTTTGGGCTCAGGGCGAGTAGATGTCGTTCCTCCATCTGTGTTCAGGGTTTCCCATGCTCAGATTTGTTGGAGATTGGTTCCGAGTGCCCCTGCGCACTGCCCCGATGGAAGGGGCATTGCCCACCCTTTCTGCGGCGAGGATGAGAGGCACATCCCCGTGCAGCGTGTGGTGTGTGGCAGGACCTGTTGTTTGCTCCCAGCATCACCAGCAGCGCAAAGCCCTCGGTGCAGGGGATAGGTCCCAGGCTGCAGGAAAACAGAGCAGCAGAAACTGGACCAAAATCTGGCCCAAGCAGCCTTGCACAGTGCCTGCTGAAGACATCGGCTCCAGAGGATGCTAGCAGCTGGGGTGAAGCCCAAACCGCCGGGTAACAACCTCACTCGTAAAGGCTGTGGGCATATATACGGTGGCTTATGCTTGGAATAAGGTGGGGAGCCTGGTCCCAGCATTGGGGCACCGCTGCTCAAGCCCACGGCACGGAAAGGCAGGGGAAAAATGTCCGCCAGGAGCTTGGGATGAACCAGTTTTGTGAAAGTACGTTTTGTTTTAGTGCCCTTGAAGCAGCAGTGGTGTGTCTCATCCCCTCCGGGGACACCCGCAGGTGCCGGCACTGCTTTACGATATGCTGTTTGCAGAGAAAAATATTTTTTCTCTCTCCGGTGCTGGGGACTTACGTGACTCGTTACAATTGCTGGCAGAGGTGAGGGCCTGACCTCCTCCCCTCGGGCGGGTGCCGAGTGTCCTTGAAGCCCGGCCAGCAGCGGCTCTTGCACGCCTTGGAAACCTGGGGTTTGAGGATGCACTTCTGACACGGGGGCTGGTAACCCTGACAACAGCCCCTGCTTGGTCATTGTTTTTTTCAAAAAGAAAATTGTCCTCAGCTATTTTTTAGTCCTCCTTCGAAGAACTAATGTAATTGTTGCAGTCCTAGGTAGGAATGAGCTCCTAGACGATTATATTTATTTTCTTTAAACTGAGGTAAGCACCAGGGAATGCAATTACTGCTTCTCTGCTTGGGCTAGAGCTGTGCTTGCTGCCGTCATTCAGTGATGATTTGGTACCAGCGATGGGTCCCGCCAGCATCCGTTTGACAGCAGGGCGCGTTTGGGTGGAAGATGAGGAGTGAGATCCAAGCCCCGCTTGCTTCGCTAGCATGCAGCTGCATCAGTCACGACCGAAGGACTAGAAGGAGCATCTCAGCAAGTAGCTGGTTCTGAAAAAGGCTTTTTTTTCTCAGCAGGGGGGGCGTGCAGCCCCATCCCGAAGGGCAGGGTAACGCAGACCTTGGCTGTTCAAACCATGGGGCAGGCCGAGCATTAGCTGAACCCTGACCGCTGTGGTATGGTGGCAGCTAGCTCAGGCGTACACGGAAGCCGGGGTGTGTGATCTCCATCGGTTATCTGTGCAAAGGAGAGCTTGTACCTGTCCCCAGCAATCGTAACAGTGCCTGGGTGCTTAAAATCCAGAAAGGGACGCGATTGGCAGCTCCTAAAAATGTCTGAGCTACAAGTAGGCAGCAGTTGTCTGGTGATCCAGAGCCAAACAGCGAGACTAATCTGTGTGAGGGCGGTAGGGGAGCGAGGGCTGGGGTGCTGCGGGGTGCAGGAGACGTAGCTCGGGCTGCCATCAGCACCAGGCTGAGCCCCACCAACCTCACTGCTATTATTAGCCCTTGCCTTGGGGATCAGCTTTCAGGACAGGGATCGGCTGGTGAGAGGATCCCGTTGCTGAGGTTTTCTGTGGCGTTACTCCGGCTCATTCGTTATCGCTGGGTTGTTACAGACGTGAGCGGTTCCCTCGCCTGCCCCGTCGCGGGGGTGCGGTGGTGCATGCTGTGCGGGCACTCCCCTGCCCCAGCGAAGGATGTGCCCCGGACTGCTTCCAGTTTCCTGTTTCCCTCGTGCTCCACTGTCAGCTTTCCTAACTCTTTCCTGTTTTTTCTTCATTTTGCAGTCCAAATAAAAGACTCTCAAGCAAGAAGGTGGCAAGGTAAGCTCGTGCTCGTATTACTGCTCGGTGAGAGGGGTGCCTATAACTAGCTGCCGGCCAGAAAGGCTGTCACAATAAGTTTGCAGTGTTGTACTTCTGGACAGCGCTGGGGAAAACCACGTTTAATTCTGATGTGGTTTGCAATAGCTGTTTTTCTGAAACGGGGATCTCGCCCTCGTGCAGGCAGCTGGAGGCTGGCATCGACCTGATGTTTTTCCAGGACAGGAGTTAGGGGTGCTTCCACGCTCCATCCTGCGCGTGCCCTAGCAGGGGGCATGCGGAGCGGGGAGGGAGTCTCTGGGAGGGCATGTCCCTCTGGGCTGCTTGGCTGGGCTGTCTCCTCCCCAATGTCACCTTAGTGGGCTTCTAGAGCCTTTAGAAGACGGGACTGGTCAGCACACCTACTCAGAGGGATTTCTTCAGCACCCCAAAAAAGCCAGCCGCCTTAGACAACTCTTGTGGTTCCGTTTGCGGTTCCGTTTGCCTTTGCTCAGTGTAATCCTCAGTGCTTGGCTTTTCTGGAGCAGCCCTCCCAGCTCAATCGGGGGGCTTTGGGGCGTTCCCGGGGGGTGACCGCTGGTAACCCCACCCTGGGGTTTAATGCTTTGCTGCTTCTGCCCTGTGGGATGGTCTCGTGTGGTGCCGGTCGCCCTTTCCTCGTGGGCATTTTCATCCCTGCCCGCACAGGAAAAGTAGCAGGGTTTGCTCAGAATTGCTGGGGTGGAGGGTCCATCTGCTTTTGGTGTTCACCTTTCCTGCCCCAGCTTCACCCTCCCTCCCTCTCCTGTGTTATCGTGCTGCTAAGACTATCCTGAGGCTCACCTTAGCTGCCCTGCCTGCCTCCACCCCGCTCGGGAGGGAGGTTGCCCTCTGCAGACCTTGCCTTTCTCTTTGCTCCTTTCTGAGCAGGACAGGGATGCTGCAGAGGAACAGGAAGATTCAGGTGATGCTCGTACCCCCTTGCCCTGGCCCTCGATCTGCTCTCTGCGCTGACCGGAGCGGCTTCTGTACGCCTCTCCCTCCCGGCTGCGCGCTCGCACCTTTCCCTTCTCCATTTCTCCTGCGGTCAGCAGGTCTCCCCTGGCGCGGCTTCTCCTCCTGGCTTTGAAGCGGGCCCTTGATACTACATTTCCTCGTTCCGCTCATCTCACTTTCTAGATCTTTGTTAAAAACACTGGCAGGAAAGAAGGCTGGAGGGAGCAGCCTGGCCCCGGGTTTCCTGTTTGCGGTTTGGTTTTTGTCCCGCGTCTGGCAGAGCAAATTTGGGGAGGATTTGAGTTAAACTTTTGGGAATGGAGATTCTCTGTCTGTTGGGCGTTGAGCCCTCCTGGCCCTTCGCGTTTCTAAGATGCTTTTCTGAGGCTGGGACTTGTGGGCTTAGGTAAATATTGGTTAAATCAAGAGCAGTTGAGTTTAGTTCGTGGTACCAACAGAGGTAAGAGGGTTTTGCTGCAGAGTAGAGCCAGATCCTGAAGATCAGCTCAAAGAAAGCCCTTGGTTACAGATACTGTAATTACTGAATAATACCAAAACATTTGCTTTTAGGAAATTGATTTTATTTTGGTAAGGGCTCTTTCCTGACTTTTGTTATCCAGGTTCTGCTTGTGCCAAGAAATGTCAGCTGCTTAGGCCCTGTTGTGCTTGGCATGATTTAAATGACAAATGTGCCCGAGACTTCAGGATCTAAATATATACTCAGGGTGAGGATGCAAAATAAGGCTGGTACTCAGCTGTGGTCTCTTCGGTAAATGCCAGTTATGCTTCATGAATATTTGCATGAGCATATTGTGTAGCAGGGTGAATTTGAGAGCCCACGTTACAAATTCCTCAGAAAACCGAGGTTCAAAGAGACCTCTGTGGTTTTCTTGTTCACCTCCTGCTCAGAGCGGTGCTGGCTTCAAAGGCAGATCAGGCTGCTCATCGTCTGAGGTGCAGTGGGAGAGCTGAGTGGTGTTCTCCAGGCGGCCTCTGCCCGGAGTTCGCAGAGCTGGAATACAACCACCCCTCCCCTTGGCAACAGCAGTTTCTCGTGCCACGAGACGGCAGAACTGACCTGCAGCGATACCACGAGGATTAAGCGCGGATGAGCCCCTCCACGGGGTATCCTTTAGATCACTGCAAAGCTGTGGCCACCAATGTCACAAGGCCTTGCTAATGATTAGCTCGCTCTCGGCTGTCCCGGCTGGTGGGGGGAGGTGGGCTGGGGTGTTTCACAAGAGGTTCAGGGCTTTTTCTCCCCTCCCTCCCCTTAACACCTGCTGCCCCGTGCTTCTTATTAACCTTACCGGTGGCTAGAGCGGAGTACTCTGTCCTCTGCTGGATAACACACCGCCTTGGTGCGTTCGTAAAGAAAGACAGTGAAAAGTGAGCTCTTATCTCTTCCCGTTCCAAAGAGCAAGAGCAAATGATCACGGTATGAAGTCCCAGCGGCATGTGTCCACGTCTGCGCTTCCCTCGCGAGGTGCATTTGGGCAGCTGGTAAGCAGCCACCCACTCGGCCCTGGTACCCATTGCCCGTCAGAGCTAGCGGTGGTGAGAAGAACCTGGCCCACGCCATCCTTTGCTGTAAATCCTGCAGCCCAAGAAGGAGCAGAGCTATTAAATCCCCTTGGAAAAGGAGGTGGCAGTTGAGGAGGAGAGAGAGGGGACCGTATCCTGCAATGGTGGTTGTCGTCTGAAGTCGGCATGCCCTGCAATGTTCGCTCTGATGTTGGTGTTGCTGTGGGTTGGGGTGGTTTGTCTCTGTTACAGACAGTTGCACCAGACGAGCACGCTGTCCGTGGGGGTGATGGAGGGCTCTTACCGGGATATGCTGGAGTGTACAGAAGAGGACATCACGGACAAGGTAAGAGCAGCGCTGTCTACGCTGTCCTGGAGCATGCAGTGGCTCACAGTCCTCCGAGATCCCCAGGCAGGAGGTGGGCTGAAGCTTCTCCTGCTGCCCAGCTGGCCCCAGGTGGATCACTGCGGTGGGACATATGGACCCCCTGAATCGAGAGGATGGAGAATAAGGGTGCTTGGCATCCAACTGCAGAGGTCTTGTGCAGAGTCGGGAGGTGGCACTGGTGGCTTCTCCTGGGGCTGGAGGTGTGCTGTCCCGCTTGCTGGGAGGGTGGCTTCCCTCCCGCTCGCTGGGAGCAGGGCGGAGCTGTTTGCAGGCTGTGTTTTCACTTCTTCTTCATGTAAGAAGATGTTCTCAAATTCTGCTTTTCTGAGATGAGCAAAGTTGCCTGATGTGAAACAAGGACTTCCTCTCCTCGGCATGCTCTTGCCGCTGCTGCATGTGCCGTGAAGATGTGAAACTGATCTTGTGCTGGTCCTGATGGGTTTTACTGGGGTTTTACGAGAAAAGGATTGTGGGGCAAGATGGGAGCAGAGCACGAGCACAAAAAAGCTTTTGTTTGAGCCCTCTGAGCTAAAAATGGCTGAGGGAAAGCAAGAGAGGTAAAGATAGGTGAGTTGTGGCTTGTGTAAGCATTCGCTGTAGTCCTGCCGCTCCTTGAAAATGACTTTTTAATTCTGGAATCACAAATAGCTGCACAGAGCAGAATGTGAAAGAGAAATACATATCTGTGTGGCTGCACTCTGCTATGATTGTAATGCATAGAAGACCTTTAAAATTTTTGTTTCCAAATCAACATTTTTCCAAGTCTGAAAGTTGAATGAAACACTCCCAATTTGATGGTAGGTGGCTTGGGAAACTGCGTACGCAGTTCTGGGAAGGGCCTGGTGTCTCTGCATGTCTTTTTGTCTTTAATGTCCTTGCATATCGCTTGCCCTTCTCCCCAGAGCGATGGTTCGAGTTTTACAGACATGCTCCTGGCTGCCTCTCTTTTGTGATTGTTCTTGTATGGGTAGAAATGGGATTTTTGGAACGGTGAGCTCTGTCCTTCTGCAGTTCCCTGCCTACCCACACTCCTGCTTGGGTGGGAAGTAGAGGGGCACTCCCGGCCCCCTTTTTTCTGCAAAGATGTGCACTATTTAGAGAAAGTGAATGAAAATGCAAATACGGTTGAAATAAGCCCCGTATAGGTACAGGGAGAAATCTCTGATCCTTCCCCACCAGCTAGCATTGTTTCCTCCTACGTGATTTTATTTACGCATGGCTGTGAGCCCAGGGTCTTTCGGTCCTGTCGTAGGCAGCGGGTGGTCATCCCCAGCCTCGGGGCTGCGCTTGGGTGCAGCAGAGCTCTGGTGCTCCGGCTGGGATCCCTCTAGTCCTCCGTGTAAGGTTTTATCATGAAGGGTATGAAGAAAAGAAAGAGTGAAGCGTTTGGCCCTGTATTGGTACACGAGAGACATCAAAGACTGAGAAACCAGGGTGTAGAGGGATGTTTTAAATCAAGGCATTCCTACCCGATTCCAGCGACAGCCATCCGTTTTCAAGTAGCTCGCTGGGGAGCGAGCCCCGGTGATGGCTCCTGCAGCTCGGGCTGCCTTGCGCGGTGATGCCAGGAGCTGTGTCGGGGTGACCGGCTCCGAATCGGTGCGACGAAGCGAGGCGGCCCCGAAGCGAGCGGGGAGCATCTGCACGCTGCGCTGGAGGTGGGGAGCTGGAGAAGGACACGGCCGCTAACGGCGAGCAGCACAGCCGCCTCAAGCAGGAGAACCTGCAGCTCGTGCACAGGTAAGGGAGCCTGCCTGGTGCCACGGCCAAAAAGCAGCTTGCCATCGCCTGTGGAGCCTTTTCTCCCCCCTCTCCATGCGCTGCAGCACCCTGTGCCTTCCCCACGCGCGCAGGCAGGAGCTGCGCCGGAGCTGCCGGAGCGTGCCGGGAAAGGAGGCAGCAGGAGAGGAGGGAGAGGGACAGACAGCAGGAAAGCCCCACAGCTCAGCCCTTGCCAATCCAATCCCGCCCTGGCTAAATCTGCCTGGGGTTCAGGCTGTCTTCTCTGCATGAGGGCCCCATGTGTGGGATCGCGGCATCCTGCACACAATTTTCTGGGTCTCTGGCAAATTCCCAGGAGCTCAGGAAATGCCTTGCAGCTCAGCCAGGAGAAATGGCCCACCTGGCGATGCTGCCAGCTTGCGCCGCTCTCCTTTGCAATGTTCTGCTCAGTTGCATGCACTTGTAATGGTACCTTTTATGTCTTTTATTTTAATATCTTTATTTATGGTGTCCCCCCTCTTACGTGTCCACCCTGAAAGGTCTCTGTGGAGCTCTGGAGCTCCAGGGGTTGGCTCAGAGGACTGCAGGAGGGCTGTGCTTCTTGGAAAGCTTCCCATTTGGGGAGCATATATACTTTATACTCGCTCTGTATGGACTCTTTCCGCCCTCATTTCACCCATTAGGTTGATGTGGAAGGTACAGCAGGATCCGCGCTACCCATCTCTACTCTCCCCACAGCCAGCCTTGGTCCTGTTGCTTTCAAATCCCAGCTGGGGTGTAGCCCTATGGATCCCATTTGATGTAATCGCTGTCTTTACTGATCTGGCAGGCTGCTCTCTTCCAGCAGCATATTTACCCTCGGCAGATAAACCCGGCAGGAGTTTATCTATAGGGCTGTAAGACTGTTAAGTAACAATCGCGTCAGGGAGCGGAGCCATTCAAACAAAGATTTCTCTAAGCCCTGATAAACTCTGCGGGCAAGGGAAATGTTTTCACTTTAGCGGCTTGGCCCAGAGCGTCAGTCAGCTTTTAATTAAGCAAAGCCCCGAGTGTACTCGCTGCTGGTTGAAGAATAGATTCATCTGGCAAAAGCCTTCCCCGCCCGCCTATGCAAAGTGCCTGCATAAACGCCAGCACGGCAGCTTCCTAGCAAGCCTCCGCTCTCGGGCCGCGGCTGGGGTTGGGTGATTTACTGCAGCACGGGGGCTTGGGCTGCCTCCGCCCGCACTGTCACAGTCTCAGGACCGCGTGGAAATTGCTGTTACGCTGGCACGCAGAGAAGGTTGACCTGCAGATCACCTGGTTTTTGTTAGGAACATGAGAAAAAGGAGGAGGATTGGGGTGAGATTCCAATGAAGTAGCTCGTTCTGGGTGATGCTGTGACTGTGACCCACAGGCTGGGGGTTATAAAATGATTCCTGTGCTTTCACCCTCATCCTTCCCCCTTAAAAAGGGGTTTGGTGCAGCCTGGAGATTTAGCAAACTAGATGGAGACAGCACCAGCATGTACCACCTGGCTTATTTTATTTGAAGGTGGTGTTGGCCAGCAGTAGTGTCCTTGGGGATTTCATGGACCGTTGTTGCGTTCCCACTGCATCTGCTGGGACGAGGTAAAGCCCTCATACGCCTGCTGATTGAGCTGGCGATGGGTGCGCTTTCCCTGACAGCTCGCTCTGTTCTACAGCCCCCTTCTCCCAGTTGTTACGCTGCAGGGTGGGAGAAGGGCTGGGAAGGGAGTCTGAGCCCTCTCTCAGGGGTGAGCCATCAGGAACGCTTAATCCTCTCTCTCTCCTCTCCGCAGAGCAAATGCTCTCGAGGAACAGCTGAAGGAGCAGGAGCTGAGAGCTGACCAAACGCTCCTGGAGGAGATCAAGAAGCAGAGGGAGCTGCTGAGCAAAATGGAGAGGGAGAAGAGCATTGAGATTGAGAACCTGCAAGCCAGGTGGGGCTGGGGCAGGGCTGGGTGGTGGCAGGTCTCCTGGACCCACATGTACGCGCTGGACTACGTGTGCAGGCTGACGCTCTGCCGCTGCGGCCTTTGGGGAGGCAAAGTGGGGTAGACAGTGAGTTTAACTTGGTTAAAGGTGTAACTCAAGTCATTACGAACCCTGAGTTTTGGCGACGACTTCTCCCTTCCTACCAAAATCTAGCCCCTCTGGGAACCTAGTCTCAGACTCTTCCTTTGAATTTCCCTGATGCAGTTTAAATTTAGCTCACGTTCTCTATCCGTGCGCCTGCCCCACGGCACGTGAATGAAGAGGTGGTTTGTTAGTGCTTGTTCCTATCAGTGACCGATGGAAGTACATTGGGTGCTCAGATGTTTTCCACCTTCACGGAAACAGCCAAATGTCTGGGAGGGAAGAGCTGTCAGGCAGGCCGTGTCCCGGACAGGGTGCTGCATGCCGCCTGTTGGCTTCCGAAGGAAGAAGTGGTGTTGGAGAGGTTTCATTTATTTGACAGGTTTTTCGATGGGGTGTTTCTTGCTGCTTTTCCAGAATGTATTTTCCTGTTGTTCAACCCTTGCAGTAAATGAAGAGATGAAGGCAGTGGGGTTTTTCACCGGGCTTGTAGTAGGGCAGTTACCATGACAAGTGGGTGTTACTTTACCTGGAGAATGCGAAGCTGAAGCCAGCTCTGAACCCCTGCTCTGGCTCTGCCCGGGCGATGAGTCTGCTTTTTGGTGCCCAGTGCTGAGGCTTGCCTGTGGGCTGATGAAGCCCTTGGCCTAAAGAATAGCTTTGGATGTGGTTGAGGAGGGCATGGCACTGGACAGCGGACTCTCCAGAAGTCGCGTGGGTGCCCCTCTTTCCTCTGGGAGCAGAAATAGTGGAAGTCTCAGGGTTTGCTTTGAAAAGATAAATCACTGCTGGCTTGCCTTCAGCAGGCCCTGGTTTAATATTCCTGGTGATGTTTCAACCAAGTCTCCTATACTTGGCACGCTTGGGTGAGTTTCTTACACATCTCTTCACTGTTGCAGGCTGCAGCAACTGGATGATGAGAACAGCGAGCTGAGATCCTGCGTCCCTTGTTTGAAAGCCAACATTGAGAGACTGGAGGAGGTGAGGGCCCTGTGTGGTTGGGGTGCCCCAGCCAGAGCTGTGTTTCTGGTTTCTCACGTGGCTGGAGCTGAAACTTGCGTTTGCACGAAGGGTCTGCGTGAGATGTGTGTGATGTAATGAGCAAATTGGCTGCTTCTGCTTGCCAGTCCCTGCAGACCTCGCCTCGGACCAGAGCTGTCCCAGAGCTGTCCGTGCAGGTTCCCAGTGTTTGGCTTGGGAGCTGGGATCGACAAAACGTGGGATAAATCTCCCTGTGGCAGTGGGGAAGCGATGGCAGCCCTGTCCTGGTTGGCTAGGAGGGGACTCATGCCCTCTCGTGGAAGCCTGTCCCCATCCCTGTAGCCGCGGCCGGACAGTCTGCTGCGAACGAGGAAGAGGAGCAGCCATGCTTCATCTCTGCGTCCTGCCCAGGTGGATGCGCCCTTGCTGGGATTTGCGTGCCGAGTCTTCAGAGCACTGTGGTGTCTCCCAGATCCTCCCCTGCTCGCCCTGCTTGGGGTTCAAGGCCTCGGGTGGGAGGCTTGCCAAGGCACCCCAGTCTCCGTGGGGCGGGACGAGACCCGCGGTTTTGGAGAGAATGTGGGTCACAGATGGAACATCTGGTACAAAGGCTGTGTTTTGTTTCTGTTCAAGCTTGTGACAGATGTAAGATTAAAATTTAAGTGAAATCAAACCTCTCTGCCCAGCTGAAGGCCCTCAAGTGTTTCATCCACTCAGCCTTTGAGCCTGTGGGAGAACACTGCAGCTCCATCTCATCCTGACGTGGCCACGGTGAAGTGGTCTTCGTCTGCCAAGACCTTGTAAGCACAGGACGTTGCAGTGGGGGGTAGGGAAACCACTGTGGGTCTGAGGGGAAATCTCCTGCCGAAGGTGCCTTTGGCCACACAAAGCTGGTTTTGATCCTTAATCTCTCTGCAGAGCCATGCTGCTTTTCTCCGCTGTTAATGGGATTAATGAGGAGTGAGAGGTGCAATTGCTGCCGCTCCCTGCCGACGAGAGAAGCCCTGCTGATGAGCTGCTATCTTGTCCATTGTCTGAAATCAGGATTTCTTTGTCAGCATTGCATTTCGTGCTGGCGCGGTGCTTTTGGTGCCCTGCTCCGCGGAGCCCGTTACCAGGACCCAGGAGCTGGAGCTCGCCCTCCGAGCTGCTCCTCACCTTGTCGTGGCCTGGGCGGTCCAGCACCAGCGTTGGCTGGGGTCTTGGGGCGTTTTTAGCTTTCAAAAAGCCAAAACCTGTCCTTGCGGGGGCAGCGAGGCTGGAAGCGGTGAGCCTGGGGAGGGTGTGAAGCGGTCGTGGTGCTGCTGTACAGGGCTGTTGTCGTCACCGTGAGAAGCTTCACTGCCGTCTCCGACGTTCAGCCAAGGCGCTGGGTGTGAGCAGGGGCAGAGCGGGAGAGCTGGGCTGTGTGTTTTACATCCTGGCTTGAACTGGTCAGATTCCTTCTTGGGTCAGTCCTCAATTAAATTCTTTCATATCTGAAACTGAGAACGAGCATTCCTCGAGTGGCTTAAGATCTTGGATTCCTGGTTTTTCTGAATTTCAGAACTGAGGAGCCTTATGATTTAATGTCTCTTCTTGGCCTGTAGCCCCTGTGCTGGCCCCGGTCCTGCCCAGGCTGTGTCCCACGCCAGCAGCGCGCTGCCCAGAAAGACGCACAAGTGTGGATATTTGCTTGTGTGTATTTATTCTGGAGTCATCTCTTTCTGCCTCTTGCTTAGCGGTGCTATTTTGGTGTGTGGCTCTTCTTGGCTGCTGCCAAAGCGCTCGGGCTGTGAAGCCCTCCATCGGCAAATGAAATCCCAGCAGGCAGAGCATCCGAATGCGTCAGCGAGCAGAGCCTTCCCCACAGCGCTCAGCGTGCGCCGCGGCCTCGAGCGAGTGGGAAGAGCCCCAGCAGCGCCGAAGGAAGACAGTCCCTCTGACTGTTGCCTTGCATGTCGTTACAGGAGAAGCAGAAGCTGCTGGATGAGATCGAAGACCTCACTGTGCAGCTCACAGAGGAGCAGGAGAAAAAGAGGAAGATGGGGGACAAGCTGAGTCAGGAGAGGCACCAGTTTCAGAAGGAGAAGGAGTCGACGCAGGAGGTAAGTAGTCGGGGCTGCCTGCCACAGCCCTGTCCTGTTGGTCCCCCAGGTTAGGGCTACGTGGGGACGCTGGCCTTGACAGTCTCTCCAAAAATAGACGTAACTGGAGCGTTTGGTCCTGCCCGGGCAGAGAAAGGTAACACAGCAGCTTAACTGTAGAACATCTGGTGCTTTTGCCTGTGTTGAAATTCAGCTGAGCGTGTCTGCATCTGCAAACCCAGTGGGGCTGTGCCGCCCTGGCCCGTTCCCATGCAGCCCGTTCCTCTTCCGCGTCGAAGGAGTGGTGGCAAAAACGCAGTGACGGTGGCACGTGGAGCCAGCAGGCGTTAGCAGGCGGGAGGAGAGGGCTGCGAGGCTACTGGGTGAGCTGCCAGCTCCTGTGTGCTTGGGCGCAGGAACGCAGCCCCTCCGGCCCCTTCCAGGTGTCTGTGGGTTGGTAGCTCCAGCCGGAGGGTCGAGCATGGCTTGCTGCTGTGGTTGGAAAGGAGCTTTGGGCCTCAAAGTGGAAATTATTTTGGCGATGCTGAGAGTACTCGGGTGAGACCGGGATTCGTAGCACTGTGGCAGGAGAAGCTGCCCGAGCAGGTGCCTGCGTTGCCAGGCTGGGTCCAACTGCTGCTGCAGACCCAGAACCAGCGTCTTTGGTGCTCCAACAAAGTCCTTCCAGGGCGGCTCTTGTGTATTTAAGTAGCTCCCCCTCTCCTGTTTGTTAGAGGCGTAGGGGAGGAAGGGGATGCCATGTGCATCCCCAGAAAGGGTCTGTCAGTCCTGCGGTCGATGGGGTTGTGCCCAGCTGGGGGACAGCCTGTCTCTCACACCAGCCATGACCTGTGCGAGCTGTCGGGCTTGCAGGGCGCCTGCTGCTCAGTTGTCCCCTTCCCTTGTGCTGCAGCTCATTGAGGACCTCAGGAAGCAGCTCGAGCACTTGCAACTCTTCAAACTGGAAGCTGAGCAGCGAAGAGGCAGGAGCAGCAGCATGGGGCTCCAGGAGCAGAAAAGCAGGACACGGGAGACGGAGCTGGAGCAAGAGATCAAGCAGCTCAAGCAGGTACGCGGGGCTGGGCAGGGAGGGAAGCATCTTGGCTGCTCAGTCTGCAAAAGGGGATGCTGGTTCCCTGATGACAAGGGGTGGTCAGTGGGAGCCCAGGGGCTTCTCCCGAGGAGCTGAGCGCGGAGCCGGCAGCCCACTGCTTGCTTGCTCTCCTGTCCTGGGGCAGGAGACGTTGGCTCCTTCCTCTGAAAGGCAACGCGTACCCTCTCTCTGCTGTGTCCCCTGGCTCTCCCCAGCACACCGTGTGTTACCCGAGGTTCTCCAGGCTCTGTCGAATCAAAGACTGAGTGCGGTTCCCAGTGCTCTGTGAGCCGCTGGTTAGGACAAAAGCCCTTGCCCTCCCCAGCTGGTTCTGCTCTGGGGGCACCACGTGCTTCAGCAGCATCTGACGCTTGTCTGTTGTGAACAGGATAACAGGAACCTGAAGGAGCAGAACGATGAACTGAACGGGCAGATCATTAACTTGAGCATCCAGGGAGCCAAGAACCTCTTCTCAGCCTCCTTTTCTGAATCCCTGGCAGCGGAGATCAGCTCGGTCTCCAGAGACGAGGTAAGTGCCACAGGGTACTGCTTACCTCGGACTGCATCTTCCCAGGGTGGCTGGTGGATCTCCTCTCAGCCAAGCAAGGGCCCAGGAGTTATGGTGGCCCCGTCTGTGGTACAGCTCACTCCCAAAATTCACTTGAAAGCTGTCGTGAGCAAAGAAATACCCATGGAACTGTGTGAAGAGCTTGCAGGACTTAGCCTGCCTGCCAGCCCTCCTTCCTGGGCGTAGGGGAAGCTGCTCCCTTCCAATTTGCTGATACTGGCAGCTCCACTGTGCCTGCCCTGTGACTGCTTCCCTCTTCCTGGGACAGACCAGTGAGCACGGGGTGCATCTGTAGCTGTCTTAAAACAGATCTTAAAAAAGGGCTTGGCTTCTCTGGCACGTGCTCTCCTTGCTCCGTGGCTGTACCCCAGATACTGCTGTGTGAGCCCAGCTAAGTGTCAGAATTGTATCTTTCAGACCTGAGAAGTGTAATGGGAAAAGGTGTTTAGGGGGGGTTGAAGGGAGATGTGACGCTACCTGCTCTTGCCAAGGTCCCATCTGGCTGAAAAATTGAGGGAGGGCAGGAGTGAGCAGGGCCAGCAGCTGAGGGCATCTCCTCATCCTGGGCCCGAGCCTGCTCAAGGAGGGAGAAAGGCTGGGGGTGCCCCAGAGATGCTGGTACATGTTCCTCCAGCAGCTGGGCACCTGGGCAGCAGGCTCAGTCTGCCATGCCTGCGCTCTCCACCTGGGGCTCTGGCTTCTGTGGCTGAGCACCCACTTGCACAGTCTGGAGATCTGGGGATGTGGGAGCATCTGTCAGGGGGTACCCATCGAGGACAAGGGCATCCCGCAGCGCAGGAGCAGCAGAGAGTTCAGCCAGGTGTCACAGGGCCTGTGGAAGGCATTGGTGAGCCGTGTGGTCCCCAGCACTCGCACCGTGAGACACCGGTACATGGCCAGGAACAGCCCAAGCCTCAGTGAAGAAGGAGGGAAAGCTGCATGGGTGCAGTGGGGTGCACAGAGCCATGAGAACCCCCGCTTCTGTCGCTGGGCAGCGGCCGGCGGTCACAGAATCACAGAATGGTCGGGGTTGGAAGGGACCTCTGTGGGTCATCTAGTCCAACC